GGAAAACTAAAGAAATACAATCTAAATGAAACTTCAGCATGGAAGGTACACAACTAACCTGAAGGAAAAGCCTTCAGTGGGAAAGAAATAATGAATCAATTATTATATTATAAAATGAGATTGAAATTAGAATTTAAGAGAAAAAATATAGGTGTGCACATGCCTATTTCTAACGTTAAAAAAGAAAAACAGCCAAATCAAAACAAAACAAAACACAAAACCTGCAAAAAAGCCAGGAGTACATCAGAAAAAAAAGACCTGGAGTGTTGAAGTAGTTCACAAACAAAAAATGCCTCAACCTTACAGTGTTGATACAAAAAGACGTCAATACCAGTCTGGTAGATATTAACAGAAATGTTTCATGTAAAACACAGTAACCATGCCTGCCTGCTCCATATTGGTGAAGCATTTAAAGAAAATATAGATTAACTGGATATAGTTCGGAAGCAGAAAATAAAACTTATAAAAGTTTTAGAAGAGTAGACTTGTAGGAAGCTTGAAGAAATTCTTCTGTGTATCCTTGAAGAAAATAAAACTCAGAAGCAATGAAATTAATGTTCTGGTATGTGAAAGAATAATGCAACAGGAAAAGAAGGTACTGCTGAAGGTAATGAAATAGGGTTATATATATATCTTTTTTTTAATCTAAGATTTTCACAGAAAATAACAAAAAGACCTGCTGCCTGGAATGCTGGTACTGCATTAGAGACAGCTATGTAAGGAAGCTGTGAAAGGTATATAAATGGTTATACAGGCATGTGTCTATGGCATAACTGTAATTGATCCTCCTTCAGTGCAGACTCCCTGCTAGTGCAGCATTTCTGTTTATTCACAACGAATACAAAGGCATTCTTCATCTCAAACTAACATTTGCTAATACCATCTGCTTTGCCAACAGCAGTCAAGAAAGATGAGACTGCTTAGCTCATAGAGCAACCACTACTCAGCAAACACTTTTTGCAGAAACCATGCTTCATCATCTTAATTCTCAGATGTGGTTGTCACTTTAGTAAGGGGATGAAAAGTAAAATCTGCTGCTACTCTTTTTTTCTTTTTTCTTTTTCTTTTTTTTTTTCTTTTTTTTTTTTTTTTCTCTCCAGTTTCTAGCATTGGACAGATTTGAACCTGCTTCCCATCAAGAAGATGGGAAAAGATCAACTTCCACTGGTTCTTTAGCTGAAAACACTGATGGCAGAAGCATGAGCTTGCTTGCTCATATTTTATGCACAGTACAGTCTCTGCACAAAAAAATATGGTACTGTATGGTCGAAATCATCTGTCTAAGACTCTGAAAGAATACTCAAAGAGTTACAGTAAAAGTCTGGGATGCTGGGTTATTCGTTTTGCATTCTTTGCCATAGATTAGAATTTTAATGTTTATAGCTCATTAGGTGAAAAACAGAGAAAGCATTTGTTTCCCCCAAAAGTTAGTACTTTCTAACCTCCATCTCACTAAAATCTAAGACAATTTCATTCACTGCAGTAATGCAGATAGAATAAAAACATATCAGATTTGGCATTTTTTCTGTGACAAACATCATATCAATAATTCTGAATACATGGTATTTTTTCTCAACAGTTATGTGCTTGGATAAATACAATGGACATCTTTAAAAATCAGATAATGGAGTGTATTTTGTATATGGCTCCAGCTATTGAGCAACCTTAGCTCCGTAGCTCATGGTGCTGACCAATTGAAGAGCTAAAAATCGTGTGAGAAACTGTTTCCATCTCATGATTACTTTGGCTTAAAAAAGTTTCAATTCACTATATGGTGAAAATTATACAATGTTGAAAAAATATCAATCCAGACTTCAGTTTTATAAAAATATATCATCTTCCTAATCTAAGGTTTTGTTGTTTCTCCCCTCCCCCCATGTTGGATTCTAGATTAAAAGGGATATTGTGCCCTAAATACGATTCTGTCTTGGAAAGACTACTGGGTATTGTTTAATTTGTATGTCAAAGGGAGGGCTGAAGTCTCAACAATTGTTAACCTCTCCCATGGTGTGCTAATAAAAGGTCAGAGGCCCACATGTGGCTTGCAGCCTAGGGAATTTCTCTCAATGTTCTGCCAGGGATGGGACTGTCTGAATGTTTTCTCTCATAAGTTTTAAGCCATAAACTGCATCCTACTTGGCTCAGTGTGCCAAAACTGGACCCAGGGGTATCCAGAGTCTTGGCTGATGGGAAAAAATGAACGCTTCCTATGGAAGCCACAGCTGTTTTCCTGAGAGAGAGCACAGATGCTTAAATATTTCTCTGCTTTCCGTTTCTGACTACCTGTTCTGGCAGCCATTCCAAGAAGGGGGGAGTATAGAGGCAGGCATCCAGCTGCCTTCAATAATCCTTGGCAGCACAGGTACTGATTATCTGAAAGTTAAACATATTCAACAAGCATTTTTTTTGTGAATTTCAAACTATAGAAATGGTGAGAGCATGTACTAATGCTCCCATCCTCCTCTCTTGGGCAGAAATTTATTGATCAGGATACACACCTTAGTTGTGAAAGTAGAGAGTATGTCAGGGAAAAGAAAAAGATACTGTATTTTACTGAAAATAAAATACATAGAAGTGTGCATTATGCATACATGTACACACGGAGAAATCCAAACATGTAGATAGTATATATATTCTATGCATTTTTCAGGAAGAAGATTAGTTTCTTCAGTCAGACTATGGCTGAATGTCACAATATGGTTTTGATTTTGAATTGTGGGGTAGTATTTATCCTGAGTGTAACTTCTAGAAGCCAACGAAAGTACACAGGCTAAGTTATGTTTTGTACTGATTTGGACCAGAATTGTATATAACATCAGCTATCTCCTAAATTCCATTGAAACCACATTACATTAAAACACAGCTTATGATACTGCATAGTAACTGTTAAACAATTATCTTTAGCTAACTTCTTATACATATTGGGGACCAATGATCATTCCATATATATAGTAGGTAAAATGTATATCCTTTTCTTCCAAACAGGTTGTATTGATGCTTGATAGCACTTAGATTGACTCCCTTCAAACTTTTTCTCCAGTAGCATCTTCTGAAGTATTATGGGAAAAAATGCAAAAAAATAGCCCAATTCAAGCACAGCTAATTAATATACATCAAAATGGGATAGTATATAGCTATAGCTGATATGTAAAGAACAGAACATCATATAAGACTTAAGATTTAATGATTATTTAATGATTATATGATAACATAAGATTTAATGATTAGTCATTGCTCAGTGGATCAACATTTTCAGTTAAGATTACACTTCACCAGTTTATTTGCTTTTGCGGACAGCTGCACCTGCTTGCTACCTGCAGTGCTCTGTCAGTGCCTTTGGCTTCTGTCACAATCTCTGTGAAATGAAGAAACATCTGTCAACAGGGGAAGCAAGCAGATAATATCAATGCTTTCCATCAAGAGCTGTAAAGTGCTCTGGGAAAGAGCAGCCCTATAAAAGTAGTGATTCTCCTCATCAGACAATCAAAAAGGCATTTCCTATAAGATGTCTGAATGATGTTTACTTCAAGACTCAGGGCAGACTATTTGAACTGCAATGGGCCAGTCTTCCTCAGGATTTTCCCTCTCCTTTCCATTACACTCAACAAGACTCTTCATTTACATTCAGCCCAACAAAGTATTTTATTTTTTTTTTTGCTTCTATCTTGATCACCATCCCCACACAGCACTCAGATCTACTTCGTCAATCAAACTATCTTGTGAATGTTCTTGTGCTGATGGCTAAGAAGCTATCCAAGTCAGTGCATTTCCCAGACAGAGCAATAGCTTTGGCATGACAAATCCTGCAAAAAAGTATTATTTAAGATATTTTCTGAGTGCTTACTTCAGACCAGGGGAGCATTAAAACTAATGAAGTGAAATCCAGACTGGTAGATATGCTACTTCTAAGCTACAAGGAAAAGAATTTAGGTTTACTCCAAGTGGTGATCTCACAGCTCAACTGTGCAAATTGCTCCTCCCCTCCTAGAGGTAGAAACCACTGGCAAGATGGATCATGTATAAAATCTTTGAGGAATGGAATAAGAGGAAGAAAGTGGTTTCACCTGACCAAGCCACCAAAAGTCAACGAGTTCAAACAGGTAAGTAAGTCACAAATTATGAAAAAGAGCTACTGTATTTGAGCAACGTGTTGTCTCAAACTGTTCACATGGGAAAGAGCCTTGGGAATTTTGCTGCCTGTAATATACACTAACTAGATTCTTCCCTGTCTCACTTTCTCATTTGTAACTCATTTATTGCACTTACAAAAGGACAGCTCCTGACCTTTCCATTTTCTTTTCCAAGTCATCTAACAGAGCATTTGCTAGCTTAGCACCAGAAAAGAAACCAATATAGCTTTTTTTTCCCCCAAAGTAACTGACAGAAATCTTCAAAGATGTCAGGTGGCTGCCCAAGATGTGTGCTTTTGTGACAGTAAAATTCCATCACTTAACTATTTTAATAACAATATCATAATTTTCATTTGTTTAATAAGGATCAAAGAGGTTTTGCTTTTAACTTAAAGTTTTTGCTTTAACTTAAAGGTTTTGCTTTAACTTAATTACTAAGTAATAGTGCATGTTTGTCTCCAGTTTTAGTTTAGTTATTTCCAATGTTTAGCTGTTCAAGATTTTGCTGTTTTCACTCTTGTATTATTTTTCCATACTTCAACTGACTCAGAACAAATTATTCACTTTTTTTTTGAAAGCATCCTCTATTTTTGTCTTTAAAGCACTGCCAGAATAAAAGTATTTTGCAGTTATGCATGTACATCAGTCAAATCAATCAGCAGTACTAAACAAATAGAACGTTACTTCCCCCCTTTTTTTTTTAAAGCCAGCATACTTAAGTACTGAATCATACAGAAAACACGGAAAATGTGTTATCATAAAAATCATTAAAGCAGGAGAATGAAAGGAAACAGCATTACAGAAGTACAGATAATTCTGACAAATTCAGATATATGTGAAATAAGATCTAATTTTACAACTTTTACTCACAGTAGTAGTGTTACTGAAATCTACAGGAATATTCACATAAAAAATACAGGATAAACCCTGAAAGACAGAGAGAAATCCACTTTTTTTTATCTGCTATGAGAACAAATATTGCATCATAAAACAAATGATGTCCAGATGGGTAAAATAGCTTAGCAACAAGATAATCTTATAGAAAACGTATAGGCGCATCTATAGTGATGACAGATAATAGGACCCGAGGAGAGGTTATTACAGACAATTTGGAGTATAGCATCTGAGTCATATCCCGATTGTTAAAGAAATTATTGTCAGATCCTGAAGGAAGATTAGTCTATATCTAAAGGGATTTACTACTGATATTATAATAACATGTTCAGAGAGTTATTATAACACAATTTTTGGAATAAAAGAGAAACTAATTGGTTCATAAAATTAAAGCACCTCTAGATTCCACTGACAACATTAAAAGAAATAGATGAGCTATCCACAGATTAGTATATAATGAGGATTACCATAGGCTGTGGTGCTATGTAAATGTATTCAGGAAAAAAAAAAAAAAGGAGAAATGTGAAAAAGAACTAACATGTGTGGACACAGATGTATTTTTAAAGGAAGAAACACAAGTTTTCATTTGCTAAGCCCACACAATGAAATAATTTAAATGTATAGGTTTGTTCTAGCTGTGTGAATAGCTTTCTGGGGGGACCACTGACTCTGATCCATGGTTTCTGATCTAGACCAAGGAACTCTGTCCTGGATCAAAATACTTAACTGTGCTATGGGTCATAACCCATACTGTGATATTGGTAAACTGGCGTTGGCACTCAGACTGAATTCGACTATCATCTTCCACAGTAGCCTGTGGCAAAGGTACAGAATTACATAAACATCCTAAAACAAGCCATGACAGGGTTTATAATAACGTTCTTCTCCCACACACATGCACAGTAAAGACTAGAAATAATTATAAAACGGAAAATACATTTTACACATTTTTGCAATTGTCTGTGTCCAATGGTTTGTTGAATTAATTCAATCTGAAGATTCCTGTATTTGTTTGTATTTGGTACTGAAATATGATCAGTAGAAGAATTGGAGAGTTAAAGAAATAACATTTATACATCTTTAACAAAACTGATACTGTGGTTTTTTTTTCACTATAGAAATTGTTAAAAAACTATGCAAACAATATCAGACCTATACTAATTATTTCCTCCCTTCAGTACCATATTCCTTCTATGAAGCATCGCACTCAGATATATTCATTTAAAGAACAAATTAAAAGTTTTATCCTGATAATGTAAAACAAACAAACAAACAAACAAACAACCTACAGATTTAAGTAAAAGGTGTGGTTGATTAAAAAGGAAACAAATGTGAACTATGGAGCGTACCTGTACCTGGGAAATTAGGCCAAACATATATTTATCATTATTCTGTCAAAACGTTCTGAAGCTCTTGTACAGGACTGATATGATGAGTTTATTACAGACAAGAATTTATGAATTCGAATCAATTCTATTTTCCTCTTTTCACATAAAAAAAATGCATTTGAAAATGTTTGCAGTTTGGCATTGTCATGGCTCAGCCATGGAAAGGTTTGCAACATTTCTGTGAGGCATGTTTAGATTCATTTTCAGAAGACATAATTTATTCAACGTATTTCAAGTCATATATAGATTTTATGGAAATAGAATAAACTCAAAATATTTGATTTTGATTTTTTTTTGATTTTTTTTTTGAAATTTGATTAAATTTTGATTTATGAATCAAAATTATTTAGCTATTTTCTTATGGATTCTGCTTTTCCTAAAGTTCAGTCATGCCATATTGCAAATATTTGATGTGTCTTCATCATACTATTAACTCAGTTTTCTATTATATCTACATTAATCATATGCTTAAACTTTTAAGACCACCCTGATTCTCCAGTTGAAATAATCAAATAGACATTTGCAGCCTTCTTATCCGCGAACAGTCTTTGGTGTAAACATGGAGCAAGTCTTGAATTTCTCAAGAACAGGCAAACCACTCTACCACAGAACTCCCTCAAGCAGGAAGACTAGTTCAGGGATTAGAAAATCTTAAAGGGCTTACAGAGAAAGGATAAGACCTGCAATATGCCATCACTAGGTCAAACTTATGTCTCCATTCAACAAGAATCAAAAATTGCCTCATTGAAGCAAAGTGGCATAAGGTGGTCTATTTACTCATATAACAAGTCTGTAGTATTTTCTCTAAATTAAAAACCAAAGATGTCAGCAGCACTCTTGGAACTGGCTGTATGTTGGTAAATATCCCATAATAACCTCAAAAAGGTGGAAATGAAAAAATACAGGCTCTTTGGAGACCAAATTTATAAAAGCTCTTCATTATAAAAGAAATACAATACTCATAATTTCATTCTTGCTCTATTGAAGAACTTTCTAAATCATCAAGTTCAGTTCTGACAATGATAAGAAACTATATAAATATTTTTTTCCAGAAAAACTCACAGAATATAAAAAAACCCTAAAAATATTTTCCAAAATGCTTTGCTAAACTTTAATCTGCAAAAGAATTACAATATCTTCAATAATTATATACAACAGAAAGACCAGGGAAGCCATTATCACACACTTAGAAGCACACATAGAATGGAATTACAGATCCTCAAATACCGGGTTGTCAGAGCTGGCTTTTTCTCTTCATGCTCTGGATAAAATCTAGTGGTACATTTCAGAATAGAAATATATTTTCTACACTGAAGTATCTGAAGCAGCTAGTGTAGCCTAGAAATTGCTTTGGAATTTTCTGGGAGGAAAATGTTATAAATTACATACCATTATAGTAATTCACATCACTAATTTATATATTTATTAATTCACATAAATTAATTAATTACCCCTTGGAGCATTTGTGTGGTGTCTGTAAATAATTGTGTGGCCTGGAAATCCATCACAAAAGATTTAATGTGTAGGTTTATGCGTGGAATGCTTAGCTGAAGCAGTATCATAGTGGTGAAATCAGAAGAAGACACAATTAAATGTGTGCATTAGGAACACTTCCTTTAAGATTTCTGTATGTATATCAGCATGGCAAAAAATACAAATTAAAGTGAAAAAAAAAAAATTGTGTAAGCAGGTACAAAATTTCAAGAAAATGAAAAAGCAATCAAGTACTGTTTCATAAAACTCCAGAGGACTTTCTTTTCTGGAAAATGAAAAAGTTCACAGGGTGATTAAAATAAGTGCATCTGGTAATTAATTCCTATTGAGAAGGTTAAATTTCTCTCAAGTTCCTCTCTCTAAACCAATCTTGTCAAACTGGCATGCTAACAAGTGGGCACTCTATTTTGGAGGATACGTAAGATTGGCATGCTGCAAAAGACAATTACCTTTTCACATAATCACAAAAGCTAATAGATATTTAAGTCAGTTCCTGTGGTTAACACTGGGAGCTTGCTTTCGTTTTTGGCTTTAGTTGCAATATCTCTGAAGCTCAATAGGGAAAAATCCTGTTTAAGTATTTTCTATATCATTGAGGTGAGTAAAAATTTATGAATAAGTGTATGGGAAAATCTTCCACTTGCCTGATATGTTTGTGTATACATACACAAACACATACACTTTGTATAACTATGCACATACTTCTAGCTTTGCCAAATTTGTACATAAAATATGAAATCATGATAGCAATGTTTTGCATGCATTTCACATTGGCTAAAAAGCAAACATTATACAGAACTGTGAAGAATTAAGTACGAATAATAAAAAATAACAGTGACTAATTTTAGAGGCTTCAGTTTTAATTATTGTTATTATGATTTTTTTTTAAATTAAAAATATCTCTTAATCTTAGCTATGACAGAACTAATGATGATAATGGGATTGCATAAACCACATTTGTCTTTCTTGTTTTACACTCAGCACTCGTTTACATGAACTCAGCAGCCCTGCCAAATGATTTTATCTTATTTCATATTAAGCATAATGAAAATGCTCGCTTTGCTAAACTAAACTTCAGATGTTCTCAGTTTTGTGTGTTTAAACACACACTCTGACCTGTTTGTCTACATTGCCACCTGGAGGACCTCATGGCAAAATCAGGTCGAATTGCTGAGATGAGATTTTAGCTACAAGTTCAAGCTGCCTCTTGTGTTGTAAGAATTGACCTTTTTGCCCCTTGACGAGCTGAAGCACTGCAGAGAGCCTTGGATGTGCCAAGCTAGTCAAGCAGGCTAGTAGGTAATCCATGTAGATGTTTTCCAAAAAGAAAACAAACAAACAAAAAAGAAACAAGACAATCATAACCAGCAAAATATACAAAACAAATAAATCTAATGAGGCATCAAACAATTGTGCCTTGAAATTAGTGGTTAGTCTGAGGCCTTAGTTGTACACAACAGCCTATAAACAAGTGAGGAAAAGCACACTACTTGGCTGAGCAACAGTGATTTGAAGAATTTTGCAACACAGGAAAAATGAAAGTTCAAAAGGAATATATCAACCTGCAGAGCATACCCAGGTAACATATCACGTTTGGGAAGGAAAAGAAGCTCATGCTTCTTTGATTGACTGTCAATCCAAATCCAATATAAAATTAAGGCAAAATGTTTATTCATAAGCAATGTAAATAGAACTCATCTTGCAGAAAGTCAGAGGACAATACATGATAGCCATAAAAACAGAATCACAGAATCACAGATTGGCCAGGGTTGGAAGAAACGTCAAGGATCATGAATCTCCAACCCCCTCTGCTGCATGCAGGGCCACCAACCTCCCCATTTAATGCTAGACCAGGCTGCCTAGGGCCCCATCCAACCTGGCCTTGAACACCTCCAGGGACGGGGCATCCACAGCCTCTCTGGGCAGCCTGTTCCAGCACCTCACCACTCTCTCTGTAAAGAACTTCCCCCTGACATCCAACCTAAATCTTCCCTCCCTCAACATAAAACCATTTCCCCTTGTCCTGCTGTTATCTACCCTTGAAAGAGTTGATTCCCCCCCCGCAGTTTGTCAGCTTCCTTTAGGTACTGAAAGGCTGCAATGAGGTCACCCTGTAGCCTTCTCTCCTGGCTGAACAAAACCAGCTCCCTC